TTAATTTAAAATATTAAGACATAATTTTTTAAAGTCTATGTAACCCCTAGAAGTTCTAAAAATATAATACAATAACAAAATTTCCAAAAAATTAAATCTCAGATTGTAGAATCATGGGAATGACAAACAATCCTCGATCAGTTTCTACTATTCAGAAAAAAGTGGGCTTATTACATATTGTTGAGATGTCAAACACTACTCGATCAGTTTTATTATTCAAGAAAGTGGCTTTTACTATTCAAGAAAATGACTTTATATGATATTATCTTCAAAGCTAGTGCTACATTCTCTTTGAATTATGATATTATTTTTTTAAGTATGATAAGATTCACATGTATACATTAAGTTATGAATTTGTCACGATTTGAAAATTCAGATCCGTGATCGGTATTAGGATTGGAAAAATTGGGTTTCCATCATAACAAGTTTATAGAAATTATGCAATTATCATATAAACTACAAGTTACTAAATCAATTTTGTATAAATATAATCGATCATAATATATTTTTAAATCTAATAGTCTCGTCAATTACAAAAAAAACCTATTTGTAATTAATGGAGTCCAATTATGCAACGTATCGCAATTCTTAATAAAAACATAAGAAAATCATAATATATATCAGTTGTAGACTTAGGGATCTTCTCAAATGTTAGGACTTGAAGAAATATCAAACTCTAAATCTGAAAAATAATTATGAGTGAGTTGACAGATCAGTAAATAATATGTATTCATGAGAATAAAGGACAAGTATAAATATATAAACAAAAACTTTATGGGGTAACAAATTCTTTACAGTTATCAAGCGTTTTAGGAGCTCATAATTCATAATAGAACATATATTAGAAGGCGATTTATAGTCAATCGATAACAAAAATTAGAAGGTAGCAACTTCACTTGCCCATATACACAAATACATATATACAAGTGTCCTATGTCGACCAATATGAGAGTCTAGCACCACTTTTACTAGATTATGGATACTGTATAGAGTGAACTCAGTCTTATACCTACTGTCGTTAGTTATAGTATTCTTAAATCTAAAACTCCTTTAAACAATTTTTCAGAAAAATAACGGAAATAGTTTAACAGAATTTTCTATTTACAGATATAACAAAATCGAACGTAATTAACAAATGGTTTTTCTAAAACAATTTCAAAAATTACAGGCATGTCTCTTATTATGCTTTTGTAAACAAAATTAATTTAATTTTTTAGAAATCAAATTTATTATGAAAATTAGAATTTATAACATATATGAAAAACAATAAATGTCATAAAATGCACATCATTACTCGCAGAGCAAGTTAGAATCAAATGGTTCAATCTTTGATAATACAACCTCAACAAGGAAATTTTAAAGAATCTAAAACCACAAAAGTAATAACATTTTCAAATTAGAGTCTTGAAATACTTAAGAATTTGATTTGTTCTACAAACTTGTAGTTAACCTGTTTGATTGAGATAATCAAAGTCTAAAACTAAGTTTAGATCTTGAGATCCAAAACCCAAATCTAGATTTAGTATTTTTATATTTTTATTTATTTACCTCTCTTAAAGAAAAATCTAATTTTATATTGGGATTCCAAAATCTAAAGTTCAAATCTAAGGGCTCAATTAAATTAGAAATCTTAATCCAACTCATTAATTCTAAGATTAGAATTAGAATGCTAATACAAGCTTAATTTCATTATTTTATATTACTGTTATTGTCATTATTGTTATTGTATATTTTTGTTATTGTTGTTAGTTTTTATTCTTGTTATTTTACAAGTTCATTCTTGTTTGAAATCCAATTCAAATTTATTAATTCATATCTATTATTTAAATTCATATACAAAATACAAATTTAAACTAAGTTCAAATTCTAAGATCTAGATCTAGAACTCAATTCATTATCTAGTTTTAAAATTAAAGTCATTGCACAAAAAACTTATCTAAAACTCAGTCTAAATCCAGATCCATATTCATTATCCAATCCCTTAGGTCAATATCACAAACCAAAACAAATCTAAAAATCCATTTTTTGAATTAAAATTTTAGTTCTATTAGATTTGAACCTATAATCTCAAAACTATTTTAAATTCTTAAATGCAACCTAAAACCATCATCTAGATCTAGATTTAAATCCAATATGGGGCTTATATCACAATTCAACACCTAACCCATTTCCACATAACCATAATAGAATTCAAAATCCAAACTCAAACTCGATTCGTACCTGATTAATGGATTGTCTTCCTACTTTTTTCGTCAAGTGAATCTCGCAACAAGGCAAGTTTCTGAGTTTACAATGGTGGCTTTTGATATAGAAGAGAGGCAAGATGAATGCTTCACTTTCGTTGATTGAACAAAAACAAAATTAGAAAGGAAAGTGATGCTTCAATGGCGACAGAAAAAGTGATGAAAAATCGTGACTATGTATTGACAATTTTTCCTAAATTAGAGGCGATTAGGTGAAATTAAATAAGGAATCTCGTCCTAATGATGACTTATATTGACTTCATTGTGTGGTTAACTTGGGATCAAATCATATAAATCTGGAAGATTGATAAGATTGCAATTAGAGTTTCAAATAAGGAAATAGGGATAATTATCAAATCTAGATTATTGTGTATTTAATTTGAAAGTAAATCATGTAAATCTGGAAGATTTGATAAGATTGCAATTAGGATTTCAAATAAGGAAATAGGGATAATTATCAAATCTAGATTATTGTGTGTTTAATTTGAAAGTAAATAACGTAAATTTGGAAGATTTGATACAATTGTAATTAGGATTTTGAATAAGAAAACATGGATGATGATCAAATCTAATTTTTGAAAATTTATAATTCAATCTCTCAATTCCTGATTCCATGTGATTAATCTCTCAACTATTCCTGATTTATTCCATTTGGGTTCATAAAGTTTAAATTAAATTAATTGGACCTTCTAATCTTTTAATTAAATTTTTATTTTTTTGGTCTTATCAATTAAGTTCCTAAATTATCAATTTTTTTGGATTGATTTCTAAATTAGGGTATTACAGAATCTTACCTTAGGGGGGTGTTTGGTTCGCTGATAAGGGGTGAGAAGATAATTTTTATCTGCCGTTACATGCGTTCGGTTCGCATGTAATGATTTGGATACAGACATGTATCCGTGTATTTCAGATAATTAATCTGGCCGCTGGTGGGGGGATAATGAGAAACCTTTGAAATTTTGTTTGGCAAACAAGAATGCCCTGTCCTCCTCTTCACGACTGCGAAGCCAGAGTTGCCACCACCGACGCAGGCCAGATCTGCAATGGATTGTGATTGCGAGTCGGAGCCGCCCGCCGCCGATGAGTGAAGAGAGAGACGACCAGCCATTGCCGAATTGCCCGACGAAGCCGAACACCGAATGCCCGATGAAGCTCGAACACGAACGCCCGATGATGCTCGAACAACAAACGCCCGACGACAGGCCAGATCTGCAACGGAGGTCAGCAAATCGCAACCGTAGACGACAACGTAGTGACAACGCCCAAACGCCTGAAAATAGACGACGCTCAAAAAACAGATGCGCCGAACCAACTCTCTCTCGCGCGGCGGCGGGTTTTGTCGTGCTACCCGATCAAGCAGCTATCGTGCGACCCATCCGGCGGCTTGTCGTGCGACCCATCTGGCTGGATCTGTTTTTTCTTTTTTTTTTAATTCATATAAGAAAGGGGCATTTTAGGAAATTTAAAGTTTTATCCTACTTTTCAAAAATTTTATCCCATTTGTTATTTGTTGAACGAACCTGTGATAAAATTGTCCTCTTGATAAATTTATCTAATTATATCTTATCCCCCTATATCCTATTTCTCCATCCGATGTCCCCTTACTTGTGAAAGAGAATGGCAGAGTCCTCAAGTGTAAACATTTTTTTTTTTTTTTTTTTTTTTTTTTTTTTTGATGGATGAAGGAGCACAAAGTCTCTTCAACATTAATTTATGGGGAAGCTCTGTTTGACAAGAAGTCATTAATTTGTAGCAACTTTAGAAAGGTGAATCCACCCTAATCTTGAAATTTTTTGCCCATATATTAAAAAATATATGTATTTTGAAAAATTTCACAACATCCGACTTCATGTCAACATTTTTGAAAATTTAATTATTTTTTTAAAATTACAATAAACCCCTGAGAAAAAAGTTGCTAAACTTTCGCACCTTTTTTTTGTTGATTAAGTGAGATTCACTTACGAAAATTTTATCCTTGGCAGAAAGTTTTAAGAAATAATTTCTTATTTTTAGGAAATAGTGAAATTTTTTAATGCCATTTATTTTTATTTCGTTATTACAACGGATAAATAACCGAAGAACAACTGTAAATCAACGGAATTATTATAATAAACTATCTCTATAATTAGATGGTACAGTAGTGCCGTCTGGAAAAGTGAGCACCAAACGAGAATTCCACGGCACCCCATAGCCGTTTCCATCGGACCGTGCCGCAGTCAAGGCTCCGCGTTGCCTGGTTTCTCACGAAAACGCTGCCGTCGCGGTCCTGAATTGTCACAGCGGTTAGTCCATTTCGAATGGCTTCTACCTGAACCGGCGAAAAATCATAATTTTATCTTGAAAATTTAATACTATTATTAATTTTATTTATGCTAAAGGGATGAAATTAGAAACTTGCCTAAGTTTTTTTAAACCTCTTTCTCTCTCCTCTCTCTCTTTCAATGCAATTATTTAATTTTCTTATACTAATAAAATCAAAGTAAAATTGTAGTTCCGTATGAAATTATTTGTTTTTGTCCCACGTTATATTTATTCCCATCATGTACCCATAAAACAACCATACCATGTACTCCGTACGCATCCACATACATACATCATCACCATCATCCCACCATGCCGCAACTACTCCCCTCTCTCTATATATTTCCGCACGATCTGCCTCCATTCTCTCTCCTCCAAGTCTCCCTTCGCGTTCCAACCAGAGCCCGATCGTTCTAATTCTCTAACGTCCGTTACTAATTAGCCATCCATCAGCCAATGGGTGAAGCAAAGAATGAAGCAGAGGCGAAGAAGCCCGAAGCCGCCGCCGCCGACAAGAAGGACGATGGTCCAATCACCGTCGTCCTTAAGCTCGACATGCATTGCCAAGGCTGTGCCAAGAAAATCAAGCGAGTTGTTCGTCGTTTTGAGGGTATATATGTTCACACACAGACATACATATGTAATTGGATATATAATTAGCAATGAATTGGGAGATTTCGGTGAATTGTCAATTAAAATTTCGAACAGAGATTTGAAGACCTTGCTTACAGTTGCAATGCATTTGTTATAAATTGTATATAAATTTCATTTAATTGTTAGTTAGATTTTGACGGTGGTTGAGGAATTGCAGGTGTGGAGGATGTGAAGACGGACATCGCGAGCCAGAAGCTGACTGTGACGGGGAAGGTGGACCCCGCGAAAGTTCGAGAAAGAGTCGCCGAGAAGACACACAAAAGGTCGACCTCGTCTCTCCCCAGCCCAAAAAGGACGCCGGCGCTGGAGATAAGAAGCCTGACGAGAAACCGGAGAAAAAAACCGAAGAGAAGAAGGCGGAGGAGACAAAGCCCAAAGAGGTACCGTACCAAACCAACTAACGCCCCTCTAACCTGCACCTACTAAGCTAAAACGCGCCATGCGCGCCCGAAACGTGGAGCGCGTGTTTCCACGGTCCATTTTGAGGACTTTGAAAGAACCTAGTCAATTTTAGTATGCGTTAGTCTGACGACGGAATTACTTGTTAACTGGTCGTTAATTTTCCTTCGCTTAGGCTTAGAAGTTTCCGAGCGCAAGCTCGCATAATTTAAATATTAATTAATGTTATTTTAATTTTCTTGTTTAGCCTCCAGTGAGCACGGTAGTTTTGAAGATCCGTTTGCATTGTGACGGATGCACCCATAAGATTAAACGAATCATATCCAAAATCAAAGGTACGACCATTTAATTTCCATTAATTAATTTTGTTTTTTGCGAACAATGTTAATATAACTGGCTTGAGTGTGAACTGTGCCATAGAATGAAGGTTCGGCACGTGTTCCAAGTCTATAAAATTAGCATACCCACTAAATTTCATTTTTTTTTTCATTGACATGGTATAACTTATTATTTAATTAACAGGGGTCCAATCGGTGGAGGCAGACGGGCAGAAGGATTTGGTCACGGTCAAGGGTACGATGGACGTGAAGGAGCTCACACCATACTTGAAGGAGAAATTGAAGCGGAGCGTGGAGATTGTGCCGCCTAAGAAAGAGGAAGGAGGCGGCGAGAAGAAGGAGAAAGAAGCCGGCGGGGGTGAGAAGAAGGAAAAAGAAGGCGGCGGTGGAGAGAAAAAAGAGAAAGAAGCTGGGGGAGGTGAGAAGAAAGAAGGCGGTGGCGGCAGCGAAAAGAAAGAGGGTGGTGAGTCGAAAGCCACCAGTAGCGGCGGAGACGGGAAAAAGAGTGAGGAGCCCAAGGTAGAGGTGAACAAAATGGAGTATCGTGGACTATCTCCCTATTCGTACACAATCTCTATGCATAACCCGGGATACATCGATCAAGGATATGCTGCTCCGCCGCCGATGTACAATCAAGGTTATGCTATTTCAGCGTATAGTCAAGGCCCCTACAATCCAGGGTACCCCGCGGAGTATCCGGACCCATATCCGTACCCGTATCCGCCACCACCCTACGCGCACGCGTCTGATCAAATGTTTAGTGACGAAAATCCTAACGGGTGTTCGGTCATGTGAAACAAACAATGAAGCGGGAGGAAAGGTCAGAGGCTGAAATTTGTAAATAAGAACATACCCGAGGCCAAGTACATACAGGAAAGACACATAGAAGCGGACATAGTGGAAAATATCATTAACGTTAAGGATATGGACCGCTGGCCAGGTGGCCGGACGGTTTAATTGGTTAATCTGTTAGGTGGATGTTAATTATTCTACGTGTTGGTATTTACTTGGTTATAAATCCAATTTTGTGGTGTTTATTAATCAATAATATATATTTACTAAAACCAAGCTAATCATGTTTAATCATGTTTAATGATGTTTTAGCTAGCCGGCTAGCCCACGATGGGCCACCTGGCATGATTTTCTTTAAGACCGTGGACAGTCCTCTTTATCTAATTTTGTCTTATCTGTTCTAAAACAAAAATCATGGGATGGTTCTCCCGGTTCCACTTCCTTAAGTGGAGGTGTTTGGTAGTGGGGTTGGCAGTATCTGTTTCCTTGCAAATCTGACGTCAGAATCTTCCGGCCACAGCTTCTGCAACTGGGCGATGTTGTAAATTACACGTCACACACACGCACACACACATACTGTGGTGAAAAAGGTCAAAAAAAAAAAAAAAAAAAAAAAAGGTGCTGGCAGGAAAAATCTAGTGATGGTAGGGCAGCCAGAATGGTGATTTGACCATGTAATGATGGGTAATATATTGGCCGTCCATTTTTCTTCTTTTTGATTTTCCGCTTTTCTGTTTTGAATTTCCAAATCAAAAATGTCAGATATTTACCGAAGGTTCACCGATTGAACGTTGCTAGACAAAAAATGGAGCCCAAAGTAGCTAGCTAGCTTTGTGGATCCCTCACGAAAGTGGGTTTGTGGTTGAAAGCTGTAAAGGGTTTTGGGCCAAACAAAAAAGGCAAGTTGTTTCCCATTTACCACTTGAAATCATGACCGATTAACCTCCTTAAGCAGCTTTTTCAACCCACAGAAAAGTCTCTACAAAAGCCACCGCCTTTGTGTCCATTACAAAACGGGTACCTTCTAATTTTCTTCCTATTTAAAATGGTTTGAAGGTGATAAGTTTAGGTGTGGAAAGTTTTCGGGGATCTACCCATTTGGCTAAATTAAAAATGAAATTAAACAAAGATAAATGTTGTTTTCTTCTAATCTAGAAGCTTAAGAATGACCTTTAAGAGCTTCAAGCAGCCCAACGCATGATCTTCTACCCTGTCACACTCTTGATCATCTTCAGTTGTATGCCCTTTCGCTAGAACAAAAGCTAAGCAACTAAAACGGCTCCATCTGAGGGCCATATTTCATTCAATAACTTGAGCTTCAAGAAAGCCTCTTAAGACAATGCATGGAGCAATTAACCCAGACTAAGGAAATGCATAGTTATGGAAAAGTTTTATTCATTTGACTTTTTTGAAAAGCAAAAAATAAATAAAGAGCCAATTTACCTTAAAGCCTCAAGCCATGATTCTGATTCACCAAAATCCAGGAACTTTTTACAGCAGAAAGTATTTTATGTCGAAATTTTTAACAGCAGGGCTATAAAGAGAAACTTTTTGAAGGGAAAGTTTTAACTTTTACCTTCAGGGAAATTTCTGGGAAGCCATAATGCTGCCCGGGGGCCTTCAACCTCCAAACGAGTCAGATATTTATCAACGTTAGACCTTTAACTCTTTCAATTTGAAGATTTTCCCCTCCAAGAATCTTTTATGAGTCAAAGAGCCACTAAAATTCCTCTTTTACAATTTCACACTTGGTGATTTCATCCCTGATTATTTTTCTATATTTTCTTATTTATATTAAAATTTTACATTACTTCAAATATTAGATAATTACAAGCTTGTTGTTTATGAAAAAATATTTAATTTTTTCTCAATTATAATTGAATTTAAGCTATTATTGAAATAAAAATTTTTAATAATTTGGATATATATATATATATATTTGATTTTGCAAATATATTAATCTTTTATATTTATTTAACTTCAATAGTAGGTAAAGAACCATTCAGTTTGGAGCATTTTAACTCCCAAAGAAAATTTTCCACTTTGGTTGATGATGCCACCTAACCTAATGAATTAAGAAATAGCGTCCAACATAGGGCTTGTTTGGTAGTTGGCAGTTTGGCGGTTGGTAAAAATATCGGTTACCGGTAATTACTAATTCCAAACCAGGGTTTGAAATGGTATAAATTTTCCTAAAAACTAAAACGTTGAATAAACTTAATTTATTAATGGAAGAAAAGTCCGGTGGAAGGCTCTCATCCACTTTCTTTTCCAAGTCTAAATCAAATCCCCAAGCAACCAAACGCTGCCCAAAAAAATCATCCACCTGATCATAATTATCACTTAAAAAATGACGTCGTTTCATACTTTTTCAAACTAAGAAGAAAGAAATAAACTTTATTTATTATATAATTTCGGATTGTTGCACATAAAATATTTTGTTCATTTTTTTTATAATTATTTTTCCTTTTATTCAACTCCCTGCTTATGCCGCGGCTTGCCGTCTTCTTCCAGAGGAAGGCTGCAGGTCTCACAAGGCAAAATGACACAAAGTAATTATTATTATTGTGACCAGTCCTTTTTAGAGATTTATCAGTAAAATAATAATTAAATTAAATCAAATTAAATTAAGTTTCCCATCTTTTTTTAATTTAATTTATTTAAATAATTAAAAACCATTAGTGGATGTACGTTACGCAATTGGAAATAGCAACTGAGAAAGTAACCAATCAAATTTGATATTTTTTTTGAATATAAAAGAGGATTAAATAAAATAGAATTTTATGCCTAGACGGTAGGGGCAACGAGTAAGCTTATGAAATTATTCTCTTAAATAAATAGAACACCCATTATTTTTCTTTAGCATGACGTCATCATACATGGGTTACTTGTGAAGAGGAATTTATCCATTTTTTAATTCAATATAGTTTTTATTTTCTAACTCAAACATAATGTAAGTGGTATAAAATATATACATTCAAATTTTCATTATAATTACTCAACAGGGATAATATAAGTAGTAAGATATTCTTAAATTCACTGAAAGAATCATGATCAAAACTTGTAAAAACGTATTCTAAAAAAAATTAGTTTAAAACTATAAAATAGATGAGATATATATAAGAACTAAAAAAAAATTCATTGTGACTATTATATATACCAAAAAAACCCAAAATTTATGATATATATAAATTGCTTTTCAAAATCAAATTTTTGAAAATATATTTTGTATACAGAATTGTATAGTAGTTTGTGATATGTATGGTTTCCCAAATCACTTTTCTCTCTATAAATAAATTTTCTGCATCTGATGCAGTTTGACTATCTAAATGTTTTTTTTTAATAAATCCAATCTTTGAAATTAATAAAAATAATTCAGTAATTATTTATTTAAATTCTTTCTATAACTTTCTCCAACAAAAAATTGGAAATAGTTTGTAATGTGGTTTTGTTTATTACTTTCCTTTTCCTTTACTTGTTTAAAATAAAAGAATAAGGTGTTGCTTTCTGTTTTATTTTGTGGGCTTTTTCAAATTTTGACTTTGTTGATATTACAAAAATAATCTAATTTTTGTTTTATATTGTCTGATATTTAGTTACATAAAAAAAATCATAAGCAAAAATGAAAGAAATCGGGGAAAAAAAACTCCTATCGAAGAGAGTTTTCTTGAAAAATTTTCTTGCAGGATTTTATCTTTGAACTTTTTCCCCTTTAAAACAAAGAGTGCATGCAATTTGTATCAAAAGGTCTAATGCCAAACCCATCTTTTATTTTTGGGAATTCATTTTTGCTATGGGAAATAAATATAGTGTCCATAACCTTTGATAGAAACCCAGTTCAATAAATTGGTGAAGAAGGTTTAAAAATATAAAAGAGGAGGAAAAAGCCAAAAGCTAAGGGCGTGGAACAGGCCTTTCAATGCATGTCTTACGAAAGTCCTCTCCTCCAATCTTTACTTCTCCCAGCTGCAATAACAAGCAGAAACAGCTAAACTTGAGCTACTTTTATGGTTGATTCATATAATATAACACACATGATTGAATGCCCAAACAAAACCCATATCACTATTATTTTATACGTGCACAAAAGTGATGTGTAGTTACGTACGTATTCTAAATGCTCTCCCCATTCAAAAGAAGTTAATCAAGAAAAGTAACAACCAGATCACTCCAAGGTGTGTCAGAAAACTCCCCAAGTGTTTTGGTGTTTGCATGAATCATCATTCTCATGTGAGTGTGACCCCCCATCTTATGCTACCAAGGAAGTGCTCCTACTGTGCTTTGTGACTATGACCTCATCACATCCACCTGTTACTTTTTAAAATTATATTTTTTATTTTAAAAATTAATAAAATTAAAATCTTATAAATTTTGAAATGTTTAAATGAAAAAAACTAATAACATAAACCCAAATTCATGAAGTTGAATATACTCGAAGGTTTTGTTTATTAACTTAATCTGGACATGGATGGATAGAAAAAATTATAGATAATGATATCTTAATGTCATGGCATTTTTAATTTTATTACTTGTTTGGTATATTTTAATTTAGTATTGAGAAAATAGTAAGATAATTCAACACATTATCCATATACCCTTATAGAAGAGGCCATGTTTTCACCATGTTTGCTCCTGTTTTTGGCTCTGAGAAGTTACCGGGTTAGATATAGTTTTTCGGCGACGGAAGGCAACACAATCAAGGCTATTTACTCTCAGGGGTTGATGATTCATGTAAATCAAGGTCAATCAAGTGTCAATTGAGCTTGATTTGGTGTTAATGTTCAACAACAAAAAAGAAAAAAAATCACGACTTTTTGATTTTTCGATAGATGAACAACCATGAGCCACTCCTAGCAGCAGGACTTGCTGGTTACCAGAGAATGTGTTACGTTGATTGGGAGAACTAGACAACTATTTGGCTTCCATCAATTGCTATCCGTGGTGTCTGGATCTTGTAAGCTGTCGCATGGATGACATATACAAATACCCTTGTCGACGATGAC